ATCATTATAAATCAAATATTAAAATCTTACAATTTTTACAGAGATAAAATACAATCAAACATGTGAATATATTAAAATGTTAAAATTTAATTGTAATAAATTTTAATATGATTTATTTTTGAAGAAAATAAATAATTTACGGTAATATGATATGTTAAATTAAATTTCACACTAATTTTACATAAACATATATACTTATATATTTAATAAAGGAAATTGGTATGTTGACCAAGGTTTCTGAAACATTTGATCTTGCTCAAAAAGATTTTTATTAAAACATTCTACTCAAAAGGATTAAATTTCTCTTGTTATTATTGGTTTATTTGATGTTTTAGTAGAAACATATTTATTTTAATATCTTAAATAATTTTTTAATTATATATATATATATATATATATATATATCTTTAAATTACATTTTTTAATTATATATATATATATATATATATATTTTTTTTTAATTATATATATATATATATATATATATATATATCTTGGTGAAATCCTCAATGTCATTATTTAGTTTGAAAACCAATTAACAAAATAGGTTAATTTTCCTTACTGTTTTAATGTCACTTGCCTTATTGCTTCTATAAGCCAAAATAAATACAATGTACAACATTGTTCTTTAATAGTATTAAATTGTGAAGCTTTAGGGTGCATTTTCCAACCATACCAAATGATATTACAACTCACACTTTGTTATATTTCCATACAAGACCTATATTCTAAATTAAATCACTCTTTGCAATTATAATAGAAATTTAAGCTCTTGTATGATAGATGAATCCATAAATAGATGTGTCGCCATTTGGATAAATAATGGATGCACATACACATCTTATTGAAGTTAACATATATAATTATAAAATATTATAATCTTATCTAGGTTTAAAATATTTTAGATATCTATACAATAAAATTACACATAAGAAAAGTCATCAAAAACCAATATAAAATGATTTTTGAGAATATCTTTATAAAGATTAAGAATTGATTGGCACCTAAGGATCAACAATATGTGGACATACCTGAAAATCTTAAATACTGAAATCCTAAAGTGAATTTGTGATCATGTAAATGAAGTTTAAGGACACCTTACAATTGTTTTGTTTACATCTTTATGGTCTAACAAAGCAATGCAACAAATTTTGAGGCACAAACTTGTATATTATAAATAAGAATGTGACCTTGTTCATAACCATTATTTTGTAAAATCTCCATCCTCAAACTCTGATTATATATATATATATATATATATATTAAAATAGTAAAATAGATGTTGAATTACATTCTATCTTTTCAGGAGTTGGTGACAACTTCAGATTCCTACTAATAAATTGTTAGAAGTTTTCAAAACAAATTCAAGTTCCCTTGATTTTTTTTTTTTTTTTTTTTTTTTTTTTGAAAGCCATTAGACTATAAGCTACAGTAAAAAAAAATATTTGTGAATATTGATCAAGTTTTAATTTAATTTAATTTATTTTTTTTATTTTTTTTTTAAAAAAAAAAAACATACAAAAAGGTGGCAACGAGGTCATGTAAGTGCAGAGGCTTTCAGTTAGTTCGTAGTACTAATAAATAAATAAAATAAATAAATAAAATAAAATAAAATAAATAAACCCAATTTTATAATGTGGTAGTGGCAATGTGTACTTTTTGATCAAATATTTTTTTTGAGATTTTCATTTTTATTGAGTGCATTTTGCAAGCATAAGTTAATGTTTGAGTAGTAAAAAAAAGAAATTTTGCATTGTGGATGATATTATATGGTTTTTTAGACTATTTTTATTTTTAAATATGAATGATGGCCCACACATGCAATTTTGACATTTTCAAAAAATAAGTAATTAATAGAGTTGTAATACTTGTAAGAAATTATCACACGAGTCTTTTTGAAATCAGTGAAGAGAATTAGTATTTTAACTTCTAATACAAAAATGAATGAATAATAAATAAAGGATGAAATTTTCATTCTAATCAAAGAACATTTGCACAATACTAGTGACAAATGTATCTATGCAACTTTTTTTAATGTTCTGAAAATGAATAAAAATAAAAACATAAGAATATAAAATTAATGTAATAATTATAAAAATAAAAACAAAAACTAGAAGAGATTGAAGAAAAACACATCTAAAAAAACATAAAAAGAAAAAAGAAAAACTCTGTACATGAAAGAAGTTGTTAAGGAAACTAATTTTATCTTTACAATAAGCAACCATAATGAAAAAAATAAAATTTAAAAAAGATAATAGAATGAAAAATATATACAATATACACTGTAGAAGTTGTTTTTGAATACAAAATAAATTGATAAATTTAAGTACAAGAAGTCTAAGATTTAAAAAATGTTATATATATATATATATATATATATATATATCCATAGAAAATCCATATATCTTAACCTAAGAATAGTTTAAATTAGTTTATTTTATGTAGTTCTTATATAATACAAGAGACCTTTCTTGTATATTCTACATTTATATACAAATATATATATATACAAATATGTATATATATATATATATATATATATATATATATATACAAATATGTATATATATATATATATATATATATATATATCTGAAAGACCTTTCTTGTGAATAACATTTATATATCTAAATCTATATATAATTTTATATATTTCAATTATATATATTATTTCTTAGATCCTTATAGCTTGAATTTAAGAATATTTTAAAATATTGATAAAATTAAACATATTCTAAATGATATTTAAAACGAAGAGTTGAAAGATTAGTAGAAATTATCATAGTGTTGTATTTCTTGTCTAATCTACATATTTTTACCAACATTTCTGGTCGTAATTTGTAATTTAAAATAATGATTCTTTATTATTATTATTATTATTTATATTATTGTCTTTATGAAAAATATGTATAATTTATACTTTATAAAATTAATGTGAAAAATTTAAAGAAATCATTCTTTTTATGTAATAAAATATTTTTATTAAAATTAATAACTCAGTAATTAAGAAATTAGATAATGAAGCAAATAGTTATGTTGGTATACATATTGTGAGCATCCATACTACTCAAGTAAATAGAAATAAATATAAGTATACAAAACTTTATTAGGTAGATAACATCTTCTTTATAAAAAATAATTAAATTCTATTAGATGCAAGTTGGATCTATAGGTGTCCTTTGATGCACTATAGAGTTTTACAAATGTTTTTAAGAAGTTTATTTAAAGTTGAGAAATTGTTATAGAAGTGTCCTACAATTTAGACAATTGTCTTAAAACTGTGTAGTCTTCAACCAGCTTCAACACAATCTTTGTCTTGCTTATTATATGTGGATGGAAGATTGAAGCAAACCTTACTCTCATTAATGTCTATCATATACTCCAATCTTAATTTAAGATTCTTTAAAGTCTTTGTCTTTAACAATACTCATTCCAAAAATATGCCTCTTGAATTTCTTTCTTCATTGATTTTTATCCAAGTTCTAGTTCTTTTTTGATAAATTTTGATAAATTCATATTCTTAACAATTTCATGAGTATTATTACATTTGTTTTAAAGAATAAATATGATAAATTATATCAAATGATATTTAAATAAAATTTTATGTTTTTGTCATGCATCAAATAAGATTAAATATAAATGATGATACAACCTTAGTGTTAGTACACTTAAAAAATAAAAAAATAATTAAGTAAAATAAATAAGTAGAAAGTATTTTTCTAGTGGCATTTCTTACTAATATACATACTAAATATTTTTACATTATGTTTTGGAGTAAGGTTGAAAAATATATGATAAATCAGAATCAATTTGGAATAAGAAGATTGTATTTTGCAAATTCCAATGTGGATTTTTTTACTTTAGATAACAATAATTTAATATCTTTAAGAATTAGGATATTTAAAAATAATTGTTTAAAAAATATGTATATGATTGAATCCTATTTCTATTTAAAGAATAATATTTAAAAAATCTTATATATATATATATATATATACACAATGTACCAATTTCTTAATCAAACAAGAATCTATAAATTTTTATAGATTTATCCTTGTATATTGGGCCTTTTTATATATTACTAATATTATTATTATTTTTTTTTTTTGTCGTTTAATATCTTAAACTACTCTTAGGTTGAAGTTAGAAAAATTGTAAAAAAACATAATAACAACAATATCTAAAAGACACTCTTTTTATACAGCATATCTTTTGCAATAGTTTTTTTTAAAAAAAAATTAAAATAAATAGTAGATCTTTACTATTCTTAGGATTAGGTAGATATATTTATTATTTTTCAATTTAAAAAATATTTTAAAACCATCTTACAATAATAATTGTATTAATATAATTTGTATTGTTCTATTTTTTTTTTCAAGTCCTTATAATACTCTTATTAATTTAAATCTAAATAATTTTATATCCTAATTTATACCATTTTCACACTCAATTACAATTTTTTGTTTTTGTTTTACATATATGTATATTTATATATTAGACCACTTGACCTTGGAGATGCTCACAATCACAAAGTAAAAGTATATCACAACTTGATTTTGATTTTGATATATATATACATATATATATATATATATATATATATATATTTTTATTGTTGCTAATAACATGTTATCAAAAAACTTGCTAATATCACTTCAAGATGTCTTAAACTTACATTGCACATCACAATATGCATTATGGAACATTACCATACATATTTGTAAAGAATATGCACTTTTATCCATTATGGTGTGCAATGCAAATTTAAAGCAACTTGTTGTGACATTAACAAAATTTGTAAGTGCATATGATGGATGACAAATTTTGGTGACATTATCCAAAGTTGTAACAGCATGTGATGGATGGCAAGTTATAATGGCATTAGCAAAAATTGTGATGACAATTGTGATGGTAATGGCAGGTGTAGTGGCAATAATAAAAAACTGTTGTGACATTAACAACACACTACATGCCTATGAAAAACGATCACCCACAAACCATTTAGTTATACAAAAGTTGTATAACTGTTGATTGAATATCTTATTCAACCTTGGGCAAAATCAATCACTTCACGAAAGAGATGAGCAGGAGTTCCAACAGGAGCAGAAGCTGGCTGCTTTTTCTATAGCTTTGCCATGGGAGGATGAATGTGCTCTGTGTCTAATGATCCCTGACTGCTTAGGTTTCAAGTTTGGAGACGACAATCCAGTTCTGGTTGCTACGATCAAACAAGTTTTGCAGCGGAAGACTTTGTTCATAATCATGTACAAACACTGCTTTCCTCGTTAATTTTTTGAAAGAACTATATCATTACGTAAATCAGTATCTCAGACCAGAGACTGGTACCATGGTTGCTTGTGAATCGGCAGTTCCTGCCTCCAGAGTATCATTAATTTCTCATTGCAGGGATACCCAAGTTGGTGATGATGTAAAGGGGCACAAATCAAGTGAATGTTGCTGTATTAACAGATGATCTGCACAAATCGCTCGTGAAAAACGCTTCCTACAGTTGCGAAATGGATGTTACAGCTTGAGTAGTAAGAACTCTCAAGATTGTGGGGAAGATCTATGAGAAGAACTTTTTAGTCTTCTCCGGTTAGACTTTCTTCTCAAATTTTTCACCTGCAAGGGGACATTCGTACACAATACTATCAAAACAAGTCTCCCAAAAGGACAGCCCCTTGAAAGTTATGAAGCTCTGAAATCTTCTAGGAGGTTCTCGTAAGATTCTTTTTCTACAAGAAATCTTACAACCCAGTACATAACTATGCTAATTGATTCAGCAACAAATCGTATGCTTTGAATGAAAAACGGATTTTCTCTTAGATACATGTTCATGTATAAAGCAGGACACAACCCAAGCAGTTGCCACGCACTTCTAATGGGCTAAGTTGAATCATTATGAATGAATGTACCTCCACATTTGGACGTTTTGCGGACTTGTTAGATTGAGCAGTAGTCAGCACACCAGGAGTAGAATTAGACGCAATCCTCCCCTGTTGCAACGCAGTCTCAGCTTGAGAAAGCTCACTCCGTAATGAAGCAATCTTCTCATCCTTAAGTGTTAACTCCGCCTTCAATTCCTTAACATATGACGTCAATTGTCGAACTGACTGCACATTTCACAATCGATCCGTTAGCAATTAATCTAAAGAAAATTTTTGGCACACTCTAGACATGATACAATACATCTTGATGCAGAAACATAGGCTATTATTGACTTCAAGCGTTCTTCTAAAGCCGCACCAGCCAATAAATGGTTACGAAAAACTTAAGAGTAGAAACTGAGGATGGAAATTTTAGAGCCAGAACGTGATGAACACACTCCTAGAAGATCTGCAACAAATTATTATCCAAACGGTTGGGGATCAAGCACACAGAGAGTGGGAGTATCAGGGCAGTTAAAGACCTCTCGGTTTTCAGAAGCGTTGGTTAAGAACCCAAGTCTATGACCCGCCTTCTCACTCATAATGTTAGAGGCATTGTCCCCAGCTCCCAATCCGTCGCTAAGGATTTCAACCTCATATTTGAGGTCCTTCACCATTTTCTCCATATGTTGCAAAGCCTGGTGGAAGTAGAAAGATGCAAGGAACTTAGCATAGTCATCTGAAATTTGACTTCCTCGAATGCTTTACAGAAGTCTGACGACAAACACTTGAAGGATAAAAAGATGTGTTGTTCATAATCCAGGTGAATAAGAGAGCCAAATGCATCAAGCTGTTAAGCTTTATAATTCAAGGAAACAGCACTGTATATTGATCTAAAATGGGATAGGAACCACCTGGTCAGCCAGCGTAGCTGTATAACTCTCAGCCAGCTCCTGCTGAAGTTCTTTAACTAGCTCTTTATGACTTTCCAAGTTCTGTGTCAATTCCAATTCCCTCTCCATGCTTGCACGCAATTCCTGCAAATATGTAAAAAGAATAAAACCATAATTTTTCTAACAATAGATGCTGGTATAGTAATAATGAATTTATACAGTTAAAACCTCCTTCTTCGTACTCAGTGCTATACAACCTTTGACCCTATACGCCTAAGTATACAAAAACTTCATTTGGATACATCTATAGTTTACATTAAAAGGATAAACCTGAAGGGATCTACAGATAACATTTTTGAAAACTACTATTACTAACTTTGCAAGCTTTAAGGAAATATAATTACATTAATCGTATTACTAATAATACTATCAACAGTAATAGAAATACAATAGTGATAACAATCGCAGTGGTGATAGTTATAATACTGTCTAAGCCACGGTGCTGCAATTTAGGAGAGCATTACCTGCTCAATACGCGAAGCCAGCTTTAAAGAATCTGCACTCCGAACCATGTCATCCTTAGCCTCTTGTAACAGCACGTCTCTTGAATGCACTTCCTCCTGTAATATTGCCCCTTCAGCGGTGAAAGGCTCCACTCCTTCCTCTTGATTCGCTAAACTCTGTTACATATACCAGCTTATTAAGTCAATCTCCAAACCAATAGACAAAATACCTGAAGTGGGGAAGTACAAGGAATACAGACCAACATGACACTTTTATAAGACTCTCTTTGTCCATATGTAACCACCAAAATTCAGTCCTGTTCTCCAGCTGAATTAATTCAGCTAAGTCTCGCAAATTTTTTTAACTCTTTAAAAGCAAGCCAGGAAAGAACTTGAATTTTTCAAAGATTGAGATTCATACTGCTACTAGACCTCCACCAAGCATACAAAAGAAAGCTCTTACCACTCGACAAGTAGCACATTAGAACTGTGGCAATATTCATTGCACATGGCCTGTCTTATTCACTTTTGTGTCTGAAAATCCTCCACACGATCCACATGACTCTTAATTCTAGTTTAGACGTTGTAAAGGCGAGCCAATAAAGTTAAGGATACGCTCACAATAGAAGTGATGGTGTGCAATGAACTCACTTCAGTAGAAGATTCCTGAACTTGTGAACCGTGCATACCAATCTCTACTTGTTGTTCAAGTTCTCTCATACGCTTTTCGGCATCAGAGAGGGCCTACATCAAGAAACATCTTAGTTTTTAGATGAGGATAAAACCTAAATCCCGTGTTCTGAGTAGAACTTTAACATTTAGAATTTCACATAAGTTCACAAGACAGAATGTATTTATAGAATATAAACTTTTCACTACCGTTCTCATCTGCCCAAATATACATGAGGACAATTTTGTATAGAAAATTCAAATCCTCAGTTCATAGTTGCACAAATTGTGTAGCTGGACGTTCGTTACCAATCAATGAGTCACTAAGTAAAACTGACCATCATTGAGCATAAAATATAGAAGGTACCCAAAGGAGTAATTCTTCCAGAGACGTACCAGTAACGAATTGGAGAAGAGATCAAGAGCCCGTTGAGTTGCTTCTCTTTCCTGTTGCAGAGAGCCAGCTGTCATATCCAGTTGCTCTTGCAAGTAGACTATCTTTTCCTCTGCTGCTGCCATGGCCTGTATTGCATGACGCACCACTTTCTATTAATTTGAAAATGTATACGCCGTCAGCAATACTTGTCAGAGACATAGCAACAGAGAAAACTCTCTATACCCTACCAAGTTTATCATTGCCATGAAAAAGAAAAAATTGATGCAAGAGTTACCAGGGTCTCAGTGTATTACTTGAGTGGCAGTCCTTAATGTTAGAGAAGCTTTATTTGCCTCCTGCCACAGCATTTCGAGGAGGTTGTCCCGAACTGATAACTCCTCTCGCATCTGCTCCACCTCGAAAAACTGCTTCATGAGGATGAGCACAACGACCGATCAGTAATTGCTGATTCCATGCTAGTTTCCATTATACAACCATTTTTAATCAGTCCAAATTCGATGAGATAAGCACCTAGAGGAACTGCCTCAGGGTGGTTATCTAAACAAAGATGGATTCTGGAAAGTGGGTGTTAAGAGTGTATGTGCCTAATTATCCCCATTCGCTTCTTACAACTGTATGCTATGAGACGGACTAGCTAAACGGATAATTATCTCATAGAGGTCGTAATCATTCATGGTTATTGTACAAGGAAAGATACTGCTTCCATAATGGCAACATAGCATTCTTCTAAAATAGGTGCATCCCTGCGTTTTTCAAGGAAACAGGAATGCGAGCTCGAGACACGTGATTAGCTCTCAGAAAATATCTTAAGGGAATTCAAGTAACCTTCCTAAGTAAATTGCCCAAGTAGAAAAACGATTCTTCCATCTACCTTCACGCGACCTTTTATGTCTCTAACCCTTTTAACTGGCACAAGCCTCTTCACATGTAGAAGGATTGTTATGGGCCTAAGAACAACCGTGTAGACGAAATACCTTGAACAGTTGGTTCGGGATAGCATTGACACATGTCAGCCGAGACACACTTGTGCTACTGAATTTGCCTCAAAAGTATTGAGCTCCTAACCTGTGATTGTGTTTCTCTCGATATTTGCCGCGACTCTTCAGCAACATTCTGCACACCATGAATTGGGAAAATTAGTCTGCCCAAAGAAAATTTGAGCATTTCACACTCAGCTTATCAACAATGAGAACTCTCTGAGGTGTTCCGTAGAGACCGTAGCCCAGAGATCCCACAACCTTGAGTGGAGCAAGTAATAGTGAGCTCGGCTAATCGAACTAAAACCATGGTGAATCAAGAATATGCAAGTTATCGTACGAAAACACGTGATATGAGAATCACCCACTCCGGAAACGACGAGGTCTCCTAACAGAACAGGGGACACTAGCTTTTACACAAAATGACACGAAGAATGATATACCTATGAGAGTTGCCATGTACATTGGTCAAACCCGACGATGAAAGTCAGTCGTAGATTAGCTATTCCCTGTAACCATTCCCTATTCAAATACAAATGAATGCACCCGTCCATATTCGCGGGAAAAGTACCTCTGCATGCTTTACAAGACCATCCTCAAGTCCATCCAAAGTTTTGTTCACTGCTTCGAGTAGCCGACTGGCTTGCTGGAATGCACTCTTTCCAATCCGGTTATCTATACCCTCTTTCCAGGTTTCAATATGCCCCTGCTCAGAATCTGGTTCTTCCTCTAAGTCGATCTCTATATCCGCTCCGCCAATTCTCGATTCCCCAGCCAATGAGTTTCCAGCAAGCTTATCATACAACCTGCAATTCAACTTGATATCAACAATAAAAATAAAAAATAAAAAACGAAACCACACCTGTGCGTAATTCTACCCTTTTTGTGTAAATCATCCCGGCACCGGGCTAAAGCCACTGCCAGAAAAAAGCTCCTACTGCCCATATACCACTGATATCCGTAATTATTTTTTTGTTGGCAATCCATTCTAAATTTCAAATTTACTAGGCGTGGGACGCCATCTGAAATTCCAACAGGAAACAAGCATCCTTGTCTCGCATTCGACCTTCCGTTCATAATTCGTAGTAAGATGTAAAGCACAGGTTAATCAAAAGCGAAGCCATTTCTTAAATTAGCAGCACATTCTGCACCAAGCGAGAGACAGTCGTACTGTGACCACGTCAAAACCGGCTTTCGTTTCGGCTGTAAGCCTCTTGAGTAAACCGTGAGCTGGTGAACTAGTTACAATTGAGGACTTACTTACTGAATTCCAAAACGATATTCACGAAGACAACCTTCTACACAATTCAGAATTCCTGAATGTCACGGAATTACCCATTTGTGAGTACATTTGTTCCTAAATTGCAGAAGAAGTATTTCTTCACCCATGATATGAGCAAAAACGCATGTATGCCGGACCTACTTGCCAACAGCCAGTTTGCCATACGTAACTCCCGCTACTCCAAGTATTACAGACGCTTCAGAACAAACACATCTCAAAATACACTAGCATGAGAACGAAAATTGGGAATCGTACTCATTGGACTCGTCAATTTCACTGGGCACATTGAAAGTCATCCCGACGTCAGCAACCGAGCCGTCATCGTCCTGAGAGTCAGAGAACAACAAGGCCAGAGTCCCAAATTCATTGGCGTTGGCAGCCCCATTGATGGTGAGCTCCGTGTCATCAAATGATCCCACTCCAACTCTACTTCCTCTTTGTCGAGACCACTTTCGACTCGTCCAACAGCACCCCTTCCTTCCCAAGTACACGCCGTAAATCAAATGGTACCTGGGGACCATTGAGCCCGGCACCATGCGCGAATACTGCGGAGGACCTAGTGATACCCATCTCCCCACAGTGGCCATCCCAATTTCCAACCCCGGACCTACCCACTAGCTCGTTCACCACCTAGTAATCCTACATCATCCTACGCCTGCCACCAAAATACATAATCTCTGAGCTCACGACAACTCCGATTCACAAAAACAACTAGAAAACGCTCACGATACAATTGCAATGCTACACCACTAGATTGCACATTGACGTAATCCAGCAGAGATCTTACAAATCGAAGAAATCACCCACATTCTGGGCTACATCATGAACCAGCCCACTAGCAATCCGCGAAACTCCAGATCACATCCTCCTCCACCAAAAATCCTAAAACCGAACCCTATATCTCACCCCACACGTTCATCTTCCTGCTCTTGCTTCCTCCCGAGACCAACAATCCCTCTCAACTCCGCCTCGTCGCACCAGCTCAAGTCAAACCAAGGCCACTCACTCATCAGCCCAAATCCCTAACAACTTCGCCAGACTCAGAAACCCCCGCAGTGGAGCTGGAGATGCAGCGGAGGAATCCCGGCGATTGGCGAAGGGACGAGGACGAAGATCCCCCGACGTTGAAAAGTCCCCTGCGGCTGGTTTTAAATTTCTCGCGTTAGTTCAAGCTTCCACGAAATTGCGGTGTTCCGTGGTTATAGGCCTGGCTACATTCCCCGTTTGTGGATAATGTGGCTCCTCGCCTTCTTTAACTTCCACCCACACACTCTACCTTTTCCTTTTCTTTCCTCGCACCTTTATCTTTCGGATCTCGTCTTTCTTTTCCTTTTGGTCTCCTTTTACTTGTTGGATGAATGCCCCCCCTCCCCCTTGGATGACTCTCATCAATGGGGGCTCTCCTTCCCATTTTGGGGCGGCTCAAATACTATTTTTTCCCCACACTAATTGTTCTCCGTTTGGAATTGGAGTCTAGGTTAAGCTTCCAAAACAATCATTTAAATGTAATTTAACAGAAGATAGATAATTCACTAAGAGGAGGAATGATGTTCACTTGCTTGTAAAACATATTCTTAATGAATAGTTATATTTTTATATATACACACATACATATCATTTGCATGTACGTAAGTATGAATACAATGTATCAAAAAAACTGCAGGCTCTGTTTGATAATATGAAATGTCTTTTTAACACCATTGCAACATTTTCATGACAACATAATTTATTGATTCATTGACTTTCTTTGAAATAATAAAAACAATTGAATCTCTTATATTGAATTTAGTAAAAAGGATCAAAAGTCAAAATTCTGATTCAACTTACTTTGTTCAACATTTTTTTTTAAATAAAATATAAAAATATAAAACTGATTCTTTTTTATTTTTACACATATCTATTAAATTATTTCAATGATTTAATATGGATTTAAGCATTCTAAATTCATTTGGTGTGTGTGTATACATACACACATACATTCAGATAGATAGATATAAATATACAAACACACATACACATACATAAACAAAATTAGTTATGAAATCAAATTTTAATTTGTTAAAATCTGAAATGTTTTATGAAGAAGTAAAACATATGTCTGATTACGCAAGTATATTTTGAAAACCAGTTAATTACATTTTTTTTACACAAATGTCTTTCATCCACTCAAAATTGTTAACAAAAAATCACAGATACAACAAAAATAAAAATAAAAATAAAATTGCCATTTGAAAACATTTTGTTAACAAGTATTGATACAACAATGATATCATGCAATGACAGAGCTCTGTTTGACCTTGAACACCAATGCGCTTGTACTAAAATAAATTCAATGGGAACTCAATTAAAGTAAATAAAATGAAAAATGGTTATCTTTCATGAATCTCTCCCTTCAAATATTCAAAATTCATTTTTGATTATATATATTTATATATATATATATATATATATATACACATTTATGAATTCTCATCATCATCATATTGAGCTTGGTATAGTGCCATTTTACGTGCAATCTCCTCTTCCACTTTGCGGAGATCAATAGTCTTTATTTCATTGTATGGAGCTCCTTCGCTAAGAAGATATCGAAACACGGCTTCCCCTTCATGACCCTTGGATTTTGCTAAATACAAAGGAGTCAACCCATAATTGTCCTCTTTTAAAAAATCAACTCCATATTGCATCAAAAACTCTACACAAGGTCGTTTTGTAAAGGACAAATTGCTTTTTTTATGAACCGTATAAAAGCCATAAGCAATGTAAGATATCTAATGTAGTATTTTCACATAGAATAATTTTATAAGCTTTTTTTTATTGTTATTTTTAATTTTTTAGAGGAACATAACAAAGCGCAATAGTTATAATAACCCAACATCATTATTTATTTATTTAATTCTAGCCTTGTTGATTCACATCCATGATTACATAAATTATATTTTGTTATACTTGAATAGTATGTTGACCGTAAAATTACACGTTGTTTCTTTGAATTGTATTTAATTTTATTCCATTGTCAAGCAAATCTAACATAAGTAGTTATGGTTGTTTTTCAAATAATATGAGAATTTGCATGAACATCAATACATGTGGATACTAACAATGGGCAAATTCCCAGCTCGTGCTGCCCAATGTATAGCCATTCTGCCATGGGACAATGTGACTATTATTCCAACAATTTCATGCAATTTTTGTTATACAAATGTAGTGGGGTCCGTCCTCAAAATTCCCTCATTCGCTGAACCCAACTATACAAAGGTGAAAAATAAATTCCCCAATTGACTAAACTTTTAAGGTGATTAGTTGATTTTTTTTTTCCAAAGAATTTTTATTCATTGCTTTTTGAAATATTTATTCTAATGCTTTTTGGCTAAACTCATTTGATTTTTATTTATTTATTTTTGAAACATGCGACAAAAATCATGAACAAGAATATGTCCAAAAACTCAACAAATCATCACTCAAATGTTCACACTATCTGCAATAATTGTCGCCTATCTATGATAAAGATTTCTTAGCAAAATTCTTCTAGATCTCAACAATCATTTTGCTTGTTAAATTCGTCTCCTATCTATCTATTTATCATTCATGTATATGTACATAGAGAGAAAGAATTGTTTTATCATTCATATATATATATATATATATGTTTTTGAAATGATCAAAAGTGTCATTTCTTAATGCAAATTGTACAGATTGTAGAGTGGTTGTTAATAACACTATTTGTTTATTATATTCTTCAACTTTATTTACACAAATAGGTATACATATGGACACAAAAGCTACCTTCCTGTGTGTGTATCTTTTGCATTAACACTTGCACTCAATCGAATGAGAGTTTCAACACATTGTAGATTCCCACAATCACATGCCCAAATCAATGCCGTTCTTCCAACTCGATCCTATATGTATACAAACAAATTTAGAAGGGAATGAAACAAAAAAAACCAAAAAAATAAAAATAAAAATAAAAAAATGGCAACTTTAAACCTGATTTCCTCTAAAAAAAAATCATAAATAAACGATCTATTCATAATTCATTTGAATCTATCAAACAATACCATGCATGACACGAATAGAAACAATACCATTGTTTTAATAGGTATTGTATAGAAATAAAAGATATTGTAAGAAATTGGTAGTTTAATTTAATAAATGTTAATTTGAACCCATAGATTAATGAATTAGAATTGAGATGAGTTTACTTTGGCATCCACGTCAAAGTGTTTGACTTTGGAGAATCGCATAATTGCCTTTGAGTCACCATGTTGAGCAGCATCAAATATTGTTACTATATCTTTCTTCACTGAATGTAAATCATATATTGAGAATTTGGTGGTATTTGAATTCTCTGGTGGATACTCTATATTTTCAAGAATGTTATATGTTTCCCCCAAAGTTGAAGTTCTTGTTTGATTGCCTCTCATCTAAGAAACATTTTCAAAGCTCAAAAACATAAAAAAATAAAATAAAATAAAATACATACTACTTGCAACTCATATGAAAATGATTCTCAAAACCTTAAAATTTTCAAAATTTTCTTGTATTTTTTGTTTAAATATTTAGTATACAAAAGATCAAACTCTTAATGAAATATTAAAGTGATGCTTTAATATTGATGTAGGATTTTGAAAAATTAGAAGGTTAAGATTCCATACACTACCCAAGAAAACATATGTATTGTTTATTTGCAACATCAAAAATATCTATGTTTTAATATTTGTTAAGAAAGTTTTTAAGTAATTTAACTGACAGTTATTGCAGTTGGTGTTATTTCTGAATGTCAACCCTAGTCTTCCACAACAATCTTAGATTGTTTACGTTCAGTTACAATCATATGTCTGATTTAGGTAGAAGAATATTAGTTAATATATTTTTTAAAATAATTTATTTAAATCTTAGCATGGGGTTCAGAAAGTAAAATCATTGTCTGCTTGAAATAGTTTACTTCAATATTTCATGGATCCATGATTTAGATCTAGATATGTAGTAGTGCACATAAAAGTAAAGTAAAATAAAATAAAAAATGTTAAAATGTCCTAACAGATCTTGCTCTCAGCGAGTATACCAGTGTTACTCAAATACAGATGATTGTATAAATATCTTTTACTGGTCATTATTTTAAAATGATATCTATATATATATATATATATATATATATGTATTAATAATCAGCTAAATTTCTATGTCAGTATTTCAGTATTCAAAATTAACATAATAAATTAACCTAATTATTAATTTCATATATATATGTATATATATAGCACTTTATTATAAATACTATTATTTATTCATAATATATATATAGGGCATCAAATATGTATTAATGTATAAATATTTGATTTTCTTTTTATTTTTTCTCAATGAAAAATACAATAAATTTCACTTACATTGTTTTTATGGCATTATATTTCATTCTTAAAGATAGTGAATTCATTCTTGAAATGATTTTTAATGAAATATAATTATATGAATTTTACATTATTTGTACCAGTGTAGTTAGTGTAATTAGTGTACAGATGTAATTTTTGAATTCAAGTTATAAAATACAGCCTAAAATGATGCTTTTAAAAAACTATTGTGAGTAATGTGAAATTCACTGAATAAACATAAATGCATCCTCTTGTTGGAAACAATTTATAGAATTTCTTGTTTGGTAAATTTTATATTATTTATTTTTTACAATAATTAAAATAATTATGAATAAGTAGTTGTAACTTTTTTGAAAAACTCTACACTCCAAATTTTATCATTAGAAACATGTTATTTTATTAATACACACGTAAAAAAGTTCATTGAATAAACTATGAGCTTGAACTTTTATAATATTATTTAAATGTATGGTATAGAATTTGAATTGTAATTACATAATAAATAGGTCTTTTGATATAATACTACACAAAAAACTTATTTTTTAATATATATATATATATATATATATATATACATATATATAGAATATTTTTTTCTATTATATATAATAAATTTTAAATACAAATACTTCTTGTTTAAAAAATAATTTATTATATTTGAATTGACTAAATTATTTTGTCCATGTTCATTTCTTGTTATTTTTAAAAAATAAAAGAGCATGAAGTTATGTATTCATGATATTTATTTTAGTGTTTAGAAAACATACATAAAATCACATGCATATAGAAAGAAATAAATAACACATTTATCTTATTATGATCTAAATAAAAAATGTATGTATGTATGTATGTATGTATATGTACATATATATATATATATATATATATCCAAGCACTACATCCATAAAAACCCTCAAAGACATTGTGCTATGGAGAGGAGCTACTCCTTGCTTGTCATTAGAATCCTCATGGGTCAAACTTTGATAACATAACAAGCACACCCATATTTTATATTTATATATATAATTGAAATAGAAGAATTTTCTTACAACATTCAATTTGTTGGTTCTTGTTAGTAAATAAGAATTGCGATTTATTCTTATTTTCATTTTGAATATAAAGTGAAACATGATATATTTGTAATTGATGTATGTAAAGGATGTATATTTATATTTATGCAATATTTATACAATAAAATCTTATAGTGGAAAGACAGAAAGAGAGAGAATAATGCAAATGGAAAAGACAAACCCCATTGAAAGAAGAATGCTTTGTACATATTCTCAGAGTGTTATTTTTTTTTGTCGTGTTCTGAGTTAGGTGAATATCCCATCGCTTTTTAATGGTGAAATGATATTTTATTTGTTTGTTATTATTTTTTTTAATCAATATTTTCATATTACTAAATATTTTGTTAAGTCCTATTTGGAAAATATTGTTAAATTTTCTTTATTCATTTTATTTATTTCAAGTGTTTCACATATACATACTTAACTATTTTTCTACTATATTTTTGTTTTTGTTTTTAATGTTGCAAATCACTTTGTATTTACTTAACTGTATTCATAACCAACATCATTGTGTGTGTACATGCAATGATTCAGATAACATATGAGGAGTAAAGCTCTCATAATTTGTTTGAAATATTAAATTAAACACTTCAATTGAGTAAGTTTATATTAATAATCCGTTTCAGGTAACTTGCAGATTCAGATATCAAACTCTTTGTGCATGATAACCAAATACATGTCAAGCCACAATAGGCAATTAAAGTTGTCTAATGCTATTACCAAAACCTAACTCTAATTCCCTTATTATTGGTCACTATAATGAACTTACAATAAGTCTCTCTCACTCTCTATATATATGTATATTATAAACATTGTGAGTAGGAAAACAGTAATTCCAAGCCATGCTAGAAAGTATACAAAAAATAAATATGTAGTAAATCACTTGTAAACAAGTATGCAATACATAACAATGAAATACGAGTATTTATGAATAGATATACATAAAGATTCTTAGTCTCGTGTCAATGTCGAGTCCCTTTCACGCGCGCGCTCAAAAGGGGCCCATCGAGACCCAAAACCGTGTGTCTGGAACATTCCGCTGCCCGCTGCCCAGTGTTACTGACGGAGACCCAGAAGAGCGGCAGTCAAGCGACGGGCCCACGAACACACCGATCGGATGCCGGAGACGGACGAAACGTCGTTGCTAGATAGTTCTAAACGGAACGATAATTAAGACAAGTTGCACTGGTGGCTTCACGTGTGGGGTAACGGAGAAGCCGGCCGACGACGACGACGACGGAAGGTCATCGACTATGCAGACCACCGACGTGTAGGCCGTGATGGGCTTTGGACCGGCTATCGAGACTAATTCGCTGAGCGACAAGAAGAAGAAGAAGAAGCAGAGAGGAAGCCTCCAGAGGGGTGAGACTTTGTGTCGGAGGGACTCTCGCAAGGTCAAGGGCGCGCTCGGACACGGCAACTCGAGTGCAAGGAAAAGAAACTCGAAGGAAATCTAAGGAGAGAGACAGAGATGTATTAGGGGGAGGAGGAAAGAGTTGGCTGGGTGGAGCGAGCAAGTCTGGGCTTTGGGGGAATCAGTCGGTGCTGCTCGTCGCGTGGCGATGGCGCAGAGTAACTGGGAGGCCGATAAGATGTAAGGGCTTTTACTCGCAGAAGCGTTGTTGTTGTTGTTGTTGTTGTTTTCATTTTCGGTCATGTTTCTGGGCTTCCTGAGTATGGGCAGCATCCGGATGAGTTTTCACAGAGGTTAAATGCTTGTGCGTTTGCGCTGGTTTGAAATTTTGGTTCGGATGGGGTAGAGAAGCGGACGGGGGGGGGGTATTGGTGATGGAATGGGTTCTTTAACTACGCATTAGGGCACGGCAGCGGGTGGAGTTTTGTGTAGTGCTTATTAAGTAGGTGTTTATTTTCAGCATTCGGAAAATTCTGTCTTTGCTTCTTGGTGGTTGGGTTGAGTATTCAAGCAGTGCAAGTTGATGATTTGTTAGACGATCACTTGCAAAGGCAGTGATTCGATCTGTCGGTTAGTGAAACGCGACACACTTCTGTGCTAGAGAGCATTAGTTTTGTTTTGGTTAGTAGCGGTAGTGGATGCCATCTTGAGCTGAGGAAGTGGGAGTCGTTCTGCGATTTTGGGGATGTTGCTACGAGATTCGTGGTTGTTCAGAACACCATGCAAGAATCATGGTTGCACTCATGGTATTCTAGCCTCGCTGAATTACTGTCGATTCCACTCTGTAACTCATCATGTTGAATTGTGGCAAGTGAGGCATTTTCCTACAAGTAGAAGGAGCAGTGTTTCGGGACAGCAGGAAGTTCATCTGAGTGTGTATTTCTCGAAGTTTTCGTGCATTTGCCTTAAATGGAACATCGAGAATTCTTCGCTTAGGAAATTAACTTTGGGCACATCTTCGAGGTGATGATCATTTCGAAGCAGACAGATCGACGTTACTATGTCATGCTAGCAAAGTTCAGAACCCGCATTCTTTTGTAGAATTTATTCTTCCGTAACAGTTTTAAGAAACCCAAATTCGAAGCTTCAATTACATGAAATGAGGTTCAGTGGAGCTTGATCACGAGCACCGTCCTCCTTCAACGGAAATGCTGAAGAGGTACGGCAAATGACAATTAATGTGTGTTAGGCTAATCACTTATGAATTAGCACGAATGAACGGAGCACGGCGCTCGTCTTGTCAATACTATTTCAATGTGCCCCAACACACTTCTTGGAACAAACGGGGATCAGTAAGTGGTGTCTATCAGTTTCGTGTTTTGAAAATCTAGAATAGAAAGGGCATCAAGTGGACTGTCGTGAAGCAAAGATGGAAGCAGTTCAGGTGACGCAGGAGCAGAGAACAAGTTGATCGGAGCAATTGATGGAGTCATTGAGCGGCTCACCGTGGAAGGGATGTCGTCAAGTTTGGGTCAGAAGATCGGGATGATTCGTTGTGGTAGAGCGTGAAGTCTGAGGTGTGGTGTGTGGCGGGGAGAACCCTTGTAACGATGACAGACCACGTGGGTTTGTTGTGCAGGTTGGATGTGTATATATACGACTATCTGATAAAGAGAAACCTGCAAGCATCAGCCAAAGCATTTTTGAACGAGGGGAAGGTTTCGTCGGATCCTGTTGGTACGTTTATGTTGTGGTTGTGCTGTGTCGATGAGGGGCTACTGATGCAAGAATGTCACGAAGTCCGGTCCCATGGTGAAGGCAGAGGCGAAGGTAGTAGTTTAGGTGGATCCGACAGGAAGAGAGGGTTGTGAGGGAGTAGGAGTAGTATGACAGGTCGGTGGGGCTGTTGTTGGTGCATTACGTAAGGAATGTACGGATGCATGCGGGATTTTGTTGCGACTGGAAGTTTTTAGCAGCGCAACGCAAGTTTGTGGAATTGGTGCTGCACGGAGGATAACGTAAAGCCGTGGTAGGGTTTGGTGTGTGAAGGGAAGGAAGCCCGATTGGGGAATTGGGCAACGTGTTGTGGTGCATTTGACTGACCCGATGGAGTTGGCGTTCTAATTTTTGCAGCCATCGATGCGCCTGGAGGGTTTCTATTTGAATGGTGGTCAGTATTTTGGGATATTTTCATTGCTCGCACAAATGAGAAGCATTCGGAAGTGGCAGCCTCGTACATCGAGGTGAGGACGGTGTGGTGTTGGAGTGGCATGGTGAAACTGTAGGGATGGGCTCCGGTGTTGGTTAGACAAATTGTTGACGCACAGAAGGGGTTTGGGAAAGAGAGGTGCGATGGTAGAAGGAATGTTGTGGGGTGGTGGGAGAGCGCGAGGAGTGTAAGGACAGTACGTGATGGGTTGGATACGGGGTGTCCGTGAGTAGGGTGGGTTGTAATTGTATGAACGGGAGGTACACAGCGAAGTGTTGTGGACGCTGAGGGGACTGGCGTAGGCGGGAGTCGCACGAGTAATGTGGGGTGCGTTTTGACAGTGGGTGGTGTTGTTGGGTGTGATCAGACACAACAGTTGAAGGCTCGTGAGCAGCAACAGCAGCAACTTCAGCAGCAGCAGCAGCAGCAACAACAACAACAACAAGCTCAGGCGCAGGCTCAGGCTCAGGCCCAGCAGCAGCAGCAACAAGTGCAGCAACAGCAAGCACAACAACAGCAGCATGCTCAGCAGCAGCAGCAGCAGGTCCAGCAACAACAGGTGCAGCAACAACAAGTGCATCAACAGCAAGCTCAGCATCAACAACAGCACCAACAGCAACAAGCCCAAGCACAACAACAGCAACAACACCAGCAGCAGCAGTTGCAGCAGATGCAACTCCAGATCTTGCAACAGCGGCACGCACAGCAGCGAAGAGAAGCGAGCTCGCACTTGTGAA